TGATTCTCATACTTTCTCTTTCTTTTCTTCTCTAACGTTTTTCTCCTTGTTATATAAGATCTATTAATATTATACCGATCTATTCGGCGTAGATCTCTTACATAAATCATTGAATTCTGTGAGAAGTTAGAGTCTTGATAAGAAAATATACTGAAGGTTATAATGTCTTATAATTGAAGATTTAATCATTGTATAATAGTATAGACTGCTGTCTATCATAGCTTTCATATTATATATGTTATCTATTACAGTAGATATAAGAATTGCATTCATTGTTATTTTCTCTTCAAATTGTTGTTATCTAACCTCTTCAAGCTTCTGCTTGTGAATTTGAACAGAAGCTAATCTTTTCCCTGTTTCATCAGAGCATTCTCATAGTTATCTTTCAAATCCTTCTCTAATGTAATGTGATTGTCAAAGACAGGTGCTGATTCATTCTTTGAACAAGAAGGTACATAGACTGATTGACAGTTGAAAGCAATGTGCTCTGATCAGTTACAGTTGATGCACACTTCTTGTTAATGTTGATTGATGACTTCTTCAGAAGTGATCTCAGGGACTTAAAAGCCTGTTTAAACAGCAGACTCTTGCTTATGTATAGATATTCAAGTCTACTCAGTTCATAGCATCTGCATCATTATTATTATTTCTCAGTGCGGATGTATAAGTGTAATGTCTTCTGTCACTGTTCTGTATACTCTTGAGCTTGATAAGACAGTTGTTCAATATCTGAAACTGTGTGCAGAAACCTTCATAAGTCTGATCTTTGTCTATACTTATAAGAGTCTGTAAGAGTTTGAAAGTTAATGTCTTCTTAAGTATACTAATCTTCATTCAATTCTCTCAAGATTGATCACCTGCTTCTAGAATCTTGATGTCAAAGTCAGAGATAAATGTTGTAAGAGAAGTGTTTCTCTGTCAGATACTCTGTAATCAATCTAATACTTTCTATTGCATAATAGTGTCTCAGAACAGAATATCAAGATGTTTGCTAATATTGTCAGATATTTATAACACTGATTCACATACTTTCATTCATGAATGAAACTTCTGTTTCATGTGATTCTTCAATTATTCATTAATATATCAATCTTGATTAATTAATGAACTGATGACATCTTCATCTATACTCAGTTTTACAAGCATTTTCATTCTTCATGATGAGTAGAGAGTTAGATCAGAAGTATTGAAATATATAAAAGTATCTAAGCATTCTTTCAGTACTTTTATATTCAATTCTGTAGATGTTGAAATTGCATGAGTTTCTTGTTATAATAATTGTTTAATCTCTTTATATTAATGTTATTAAGTTGCATGCATATCAGCTATTTATTATTATTGCAATTTCAACATTACTCAGAGTTACTTTAACATCACATCTATGCTTGCATTCAAGAGTTTCATATTATTGTTAGACATGATCATATTAATTATCAAATGTGTAATCATATGAATATCTCATATGTCTGAGATGTCAGAACTCTCAGATCTTTCACTGACATTCTCTTATAAGATCTTATTACAGGGTCAGAGTGACTGGTAAGCAAGCTTCTATCTGAGAACTCAGTGTCTACTTTAACTGATTGTTTCTTTTTCTTATGTGTTGTTATATATTCAGATATTTCTCAATGAATAATCATTTCTAATGAGAAGATAATATGTGAATAATTATTTCTAATAAGAAGATAAAGAATGTTTTTCTAGTGTAAGAGACCTATACTGAATAGATTGATATAATATCATAGATCTTATATAACAAAGAGAAAAATGTTAGAGAAGAAAAGAATAAGAAAGTGTGAGAATTGATAATTAAAGTGAATATTTATGAACATATGTAGTGACATATATAATGAAGCTTCAGAGTGGAAGAATCTATACGTGTTTATAGCAGCTGAGAATCAGTGATTGAGAATGACTGAGAATCAGAGTATACATGTTCAAGAATGAAGTGAAAGAATCTATGAAGTGTAACAGAATAGTCTATATAATTGATCAGATGCAGCCCGTCATATGAGAGATCTGTAAGTCACTTATTAACTACATTTTTCATATTTCAAATTAATATATAAGAAACTCACTTATCATATATTTAATTTAAACAGAGATGAGAAAGAAAGACCTACACAGTCAGCAGAAAAACTCATCTATTTCTTTATATTATATATAGTATATATACTGTCAATTGATTAGTAATTATTGCTATTCAATAAAGATAACTTCTAATTCAGTAATCTTGAAAATATCAAGACTATACTCTTAAAGAGAAGAACATTGTCATACTCTCAGCTGTATCAAGACCTTATTGTGATTTTACACAGCTTATTACTTTTATACAGATGATTTCATCTCATTGAAACTAGTTTTCAATCACTTTATAACATCATTCAGATATATTATAGAAAGATAATTAATAAATATAAGAATCTCACTTCTATTCAAGATCAGCAGATTACTCTTTCTTAATAGTGAGATACTGCTGAGATATCACTTCAGCTATTCTCACTCATGAAATAGAAGAAGAATATTCATTCATTATCTATATAAAATAGCTAGATGCTGCTTCTTATTAAAGAAGTCAGTGATTTGTTTTTCTCTTACTGAAATATATATGAGAGTTTACTATGTTTCTTATATAATTTTCTTAGTATACTAAGTATCATATCTGTAATATTCTTGCAATAACTCTGTAGCCTATGAGCTTGCTATTTAAGCAAGATAGTTAAGCTCACTTATACAGCTTCTCAAACAACTACTTCTACATGACACCGCCAACTAGCCACCTCTTCGGTTCCGTCACGTTACAAATAGTTCACTTTACAGATATAGGAAAAACTCTGAGAACTAAAAGTTCTCAGGTAAATGTCATAGTCTCTAACTACATACATCTATAATTGAAGAATAATAATAATAATAACAGCTCTGTGTAATCACTAGATGGAGCTCTGATGACTGAATGATTAATGCAGCCACCTGGTAGCGCCTTGACATGGAAAACCAAGGCATGTGAGTTCAAAACCCGCAGAGAATACATTAAATCCGGAACTCAAGCACCTTAGGTTTCTAATAAATACAGAGGTGTACAAATCACTTCAATAAATTACTCTATGTTTCTGGAATGAAAAGTTATTATCGCATGTATTTAATTGTCACTTCTTTGTATTTCCTATGTTCTTGTTATCTTGGCATGATCTCAACACCTGTATTTTCCTCCTGTATAACCAACACTTGACCTGTATTTAACATCACGCAAGGACTTATCATAAGCTCCGCTTGCATATGAGTATAATGAAAGAATAATAATAATAATAATAATAATCACTAGATTGTCATTTCTCTGATATTTAATCTCTATTTTAAGATATGACTTGATCTCTTTAATATTCTTTATCTTAAATCTCTTCACAATCTCTTTTCATACTCAGTTTAATTACTGTTCTTGAGATTTTGTCATCTGATAATTATTAACATGTAATGTCAAATAGATCTTATAAACAGAGTAATATAGAAATCTGCTATTATAAAATAATATCTTAAATTCTAATATAGTTAGATACTCTGTTATAAGAAAATATCATACTCTTATAACTTACTTCATTTTATATAGACTCTGACAGAGTAATTTCATCAAGTTCTCTCTGCTATGCCTAACACCTGTGAGTAGTTATATATAGATCATCTCATTCTGAGGTAATATATTATTTAAAAATGTAGATACATAGTTAATCAATTTAATCTTTCATTCTTTGACAGTTAATATAGTGAATACTGTCAGGTCACGTGATCTGGCTTACTAATCCTTCCACCATATAACTTTCCACAAGCTAGCAACCTTTCAATCACACAAGCTTTACACCTTCCACAGGTTATGAGACTCATTTTGCGCAAAAATCGCTGCCAATTCGGGATTCCTTGTCAATATACTTATTATTTGAACTACTGCTTCATTTGATACACTCATCAGAAGTTAAAATTGTCTTATTCTATCAGTATTAATGTGTTTGAGATCTTGATGATCAATAATACTACTGCTCACTTAAAAAAAAGAGGCTTGCAGAAAACACATCACATTTACAAAAAAAAAGCAAGAAAAGAGAATGATATTGACAAGGATTCAATAAAGGAATATCAAGATGACAGATTCAATATGATCACACTCACACATACATTCACAATCTCACATTCTTTTCACTGAATCAGTTGCAGTTGATGATGATGATTCTTCACACTTATACTCTGTCAGTGAACATTCTTCTGAAGTCTTTAAAAGCTTCATTGAAGAACACCCTGTAACACTCTCTTAATTCAAAGCTGGTTTGAATACAGCTTCTGACACAGTCAGGCCAGCCTTTCAATCTACTCAATAGCTTGATAAAGCTGGTTCTCTTGATGAGAATATTGAACACTCAGATATCTACTGTTCAGACAAGGCAATATCAGACCAACAGATGAAGTATCTCAAGATAATGCTTGAGATGAACAAGAGAAAGCAAAGAGTCTTAGAACTCAAACTATAACTGAAAAAACTTCATCAACAGAGATTCTCATTCTTCACAGTTTAATCACAGAATGTCAACAATCATTCTGCTACCACATCAACAGTCACATGGAATTCTAATCTCAGTGAAAGGTTGAAATTCAATCTTTATAAACTGAATAGCTGTGTTGACAAGACAATCTCTCAATTCAAGGAAGATATCAAGAATACTGTGAGATCAAACAGTCTAACTGACACATTCAATTACATCACATAAAGTATCTTCATGAAATTGAAACTGGTTGATGCACAGTGTTGATATATGATAGAGAAATAACAGACTCAGAACCCTCTACAAAGAGATGATGAATGAGCATCATTCTGAGATGTCAGAAACCGGTGACTCTACACATTCATCTCAAACTCCTTGGATGCAGGTGTCAGATCATGTTTCTCCAAATATGATGAAAATCAGATCACTTATACCCTATGGAATGCAATTGAACAGGAATACTCTGTCCTCAAAATGCAGTTACACCATGAGGCAGTTCTGGAATTCATGTCTCTTGGTGGCACACAGGTCACCAATCTACACACATTCTTTGATAAGTTCCGGTCCGCCATCACAAAATTGAAGATGTTGAATGCTTCCCCCTCAGATGCGTGGATATTTGATACCTTCTACTCAGTTCTACCCAACAATTGGAGGAATTATGTTCAAAAGAAGATAGAGGAGATACAGGATTTCAAATCCACAGCTGTGGTATTGGATGTTGATCTTCTCATGGAGGAAATCCGTTCGCGGCTTGATCCTTCAAAAGATAAAAAGAACCTGCAGAATATAGATTCTGCGGCCAACTCAGCTACAACAGCTACAACAGCTACAACAGCTACAACAGCCACAACGACTACCAGCAACAATACATCGAATCCGGCCTGTGGAGGCCGTACTGGACGTGGTTGTGGCAGTTCACAAGGGGGCTTCTGAAACCATCGGGGATCGGGAAATCCACCTACATGTCCTGATTGTGAGAGATCTCACTTTGGCACCTGTTGATTGATCAATCCAGACAGTGCTCCAGATAATTGAAGGATCTACAATGCTGCAAGGATAAAGGAATTCAAAGAAAAGAAGGAAAAGAACAATAGTGAGAGTGAGACTCAACTATTCATTACAGATGGTTCAGAGACCTATCAGATGACAAACCTCACAGAGGTTATCAATGTGTCAGCCTGTTTTGTGGAACCCCACAAGGATCCTTTCAACGGGCGTTTATACATATCAAAGGACGTCATCTTCCAGGAGGACCTCCATCTTGCTGATCCATCGATATCAACTACTCCACACAACCTGAAGGTCCTATCCAATGCGGCCCGTAAAGCGGCTGCGGCGATTCCTTCAGCGACACCAGGCCTACCCACTGCGGCCTGTCAAGAGACTGCAGCGATTCCTGATCCATCAATTGATAATCTATTCATTGATGAGAAAATTCGACTTGAGTGTCCATTATTTCTCATACCCACTAATAATTGGTGGATTGACTATGATATCTCCGCAAGAATATCTACTCTTTTAGTGCAGAATACACTGAACTCCTCAGAATTCACAGTTGAATCAGATGATCCTCCGACATCTACAAGGGATATCACTACAGTGAGGGAAGCTTCAGTGAGGGACAGTCTTGAAGACCTACTCACTGATCCCGAGATCACTGCACTCCTGATCCTGAAAAACCTCACATGCGCCAAAGCTTCCATGAAATAGAAGTATTATTACAAGGCCTGTGTTAAAGAGGTCAACTGTTTGAAATATACATGTTGAAAAGAGAATATAAAGAAGATAGAGAGATAGAGGGATAAAAAACAATGTATATCATGACTGGTTTTTCATTACTTCACATTTTCCAGTCATTTTTTGTACCTGTACTTGATTTGAAGGCGAATTTTGTATATAGCATCATGTATAGTTACTCTGGTGAGTGGGGGTGTCAGGTCACGTGATCTGGCTTACTAATCCTTCCACCATATAACTTTCCACAAGCTAGCAACCTTTCAATCACACAAGCTCTACACCTTCCACAAATACACTATATAATATAGACTTTGATATCACTGCAGTATATAATCTTATATAATGAATACTCTGCTGTTATAAGAACTCTCTAATCACTCAGCAAGCTCTAAAACAAATGATTTCTCTCTTATTATTGAATTTTCAATTATATATTTATTTATCTATAAGAATATTCATTTCTGAGATGTTCTTAATAATAATATATATCTTCTTCTATTCAAATATCTTAATCTTCTTTTTCATTATCTTATATCAATAGTTTCAGTCTGAACTTCTCTTGACTTTTATCAGTGTAGTTGATCAGTCTGTCAGAATACTTAGAACAGAATTATTCTTATTAATAGAGTCTTCAGACTCTTCATTTATAATAAGCTGTGTCTCATTATCTAGATGATAGATTGAATCAATTACACTCTCTAAGTCTTTATTAATAATCATCTTCAAAATATCTGACTTTTTCTTCACTAGATATTATAATAAGTAGTGCTGTCATTCTTCTCTGACATTCAGAATATTCAATTTATTAGACAATTCATTGAAGTCTCTCACTGTATTTACAGATGTATTTACACTCATGTTAAGAGCTTCATTAAATATGACATTTTATACAATCTCAAGACAACATACAACAGAATCTCATACATGATATTAATATAATTCTTGATATTCAATCAGCTATTATTTCTTGTCATCAGTTCTATCTGTGAGTTTATTTAACACTTTCAAATCCTTCTTGTAGATCTTTCACCCTTATCTCTGTATTCAATGAACAGAAGATTGCATCTCAGTTCAAGCTTTGAAAGATATAAGTAGTGTTTCTTTCTTATATTCAAATATCTTTGTTGATATTGAGAATGTGTTTATCATTATAACTGCAGCTTGTGTTACCTTATCTCAGAGCTCTTTCATCAGCTCATTATTAAATAGCAGGCTTCTTATCTTCTCTGCAACTATTTAATTTATGTGTTTTACTGAGTTATTTAATTATGATGTATCAGATGTAGTCATTTCATACACTATTTCTTTACTCTGACAGTAGGTCTTAAGATCTTGACTTTTAAACTCTTCTTCATCATCTCAGTGTAGGATTTCAATTCAATATTGAGTAGTAACCTCAATTTCATTAATAAAGATTATCAAACATGTAGTAATCTCACTCTTTGATATTGTAAGAATAATTCATCTGTAGTGTGAAGCATTATCTGTAATACTTATTCAATAATTAGCTTCTTTCTGAGTAGAGAGATTGACTTTATTATATAGTGTACAGTCATCATCTGCAAGATTTATAAAGAATTTCATTGCAGGTTTGACATTTCTTATCATTGATATAAATGTTAAATATATCATTTTTATCTGTACACAGGTCTTGCAGAACAGTAAAGCTCTGTCACTCTTAATTTTCATTTCTAGTCATGAATCTGCTGTCAATTTAGTGATATTCACAGAATTGAGATGATCAAACTTTTAATGCTATTATAATATCATATGTTCAATAATCTTGATATTCTTATTAAGTAATGCTAGCAGGGAATTCTTTTTCTCTGCAGACTGTAGAATTTTCACAGATTTAAATTCATCATTTACTATTATAAATTGAATCAAGTCTCTAGTCATTGATTGTTTTTTCAGAATGTAGATGTTCTTATCACTTAATTTAGCAGTAAAACTGAACATCTTGTCAGAAGAGATTAGTAAGATTGAATAAGTATTTCTATAGATTAGTTACTTATATGTATAGCTCTGATATATAAGTTTTTCAAAACTCATGAGACTCACTTCTAACTTCAGAATATAGCAGGTATTATTTAATAATATATCTGTCTCTTTTACTGAAATCTTTGTATCTTCTATAGCTGTAGCAGAAATTATCATTCTGTCTACTATTTTCAACATCACTTTCATCTTCTGAGGTTTTATCACAACAAGGTCTCTGTAAGATGTGATATAAGTGCTTAATTCAGAGTCTAGAATTCAATTATCTTTTCCTGTCTGATTACTTATATAGATCTTTTTCTTGATACAAAATACTTACTTTATAATACTGTGAATAGAAGTAGTATCTGTATTCTTCACATTCTTATCTTTATTCTTGTTTCTATTGATGTTGAAATTTGAATTTAAAGAATGTTTCTTAGAGTATTTCTTTCAATAGTCAGTCTGAATATAATTAATCTTTTGACAATAATAGCAGATTCTTATGTCATTATCTCTATATTCAGATTTGAATTCAGTGTTCTTATTCTTATTATTATCTTTCTCTTTATTCTTATCTTTCTTATTCTTATCTTGTATATTGTTGGTAGAATTTCTAGATATATCAGTATTTACTTTATTCACAGCAGAGAGCTGCAAAAGAATATTATAGTACAGATTTATAAAATTATTCTCTAAGAGTTAAGTATTATCTTTGTTAATTTAATTCATTTAATTTCTTATGAATAAGACTCAATCTCTGTTAACTTCTATAAGCAGTCTGTTGAAAAATATAATATTCAGAATCTTATATTTTAGACAGATATAATTAGTTCTTATAATAATCAGACATTCAATGAAAATATAATCTGAGTCTTTTAACTTAACAGTTATACTAATCAGCTTCTTAAATAGATAAATTCTATAGATAGTAAATCTCTCAGAAAAGTTATTCTCTATAATAGTTTATAAAGTATAAGTAGATAACTTAATTATTATTATTATTCTTCTTCAATTATAGATGTATGCAGTCAGAGACTATGATATCTACCTGAGAATCTTTAGTTCTCAGGGTTTTTCCTATATCTATAGAGTCAACTATTATACACTTATCAATTTCAAATATGCAAAATCAGAAAATTCCAGCTCAGAATACAAAAACTGTTTACAAATTACAGTATTTCAACACCTTTTAATACTTTGAAACCATTTGAAAATATCATGACAAAGGAAAAGAGAACATAGTCTTAAAGATAGACATATTAAATAGATAGATAGAAAAGAATAGAAAGAAACAAGTATAGTAAAGAGAGACTATAACAAAATAAAATTATTAAAAGATAGTGTATAGCTGTTTTAACAGACTATATCTAATCAATTTTCATCTCTTCATATTCAGATACTTCTGAGTTGAGTCATTTTCTTATAGCTGCTTGAGTTTCTGATAGAAAGTCTATTAAGTATTGAAGTTCTGTCTCAGTTGAGAATAAGAATCTTAAATTTAATTGATTTAAATCATACTTCTTCTTTAATCTGACTCTGAGACTATTGTATAATGTACAATGTATTATAATATACTCTGAATTCTCATTTATATTGCAGTATGAGCACTCTGTTGAATCAAATCTATTATCAAATCTTTATATATAGAATTTAAAATAATCATGTTCTAGTTTTAGCTGAATTATAAATAAGAATATTTTCTTTTTGCATTTAATTGAACAAGATTTTCACTTTGATTTTATCTCAAATCTTGAATAATGTATGCTCTTCTTTTATTTCTGTCAGCTTTCATTTCACTTATTTAAATAAGATTCTTTTATCTTTCTCTTTATAAAAGATCAGAACACTGTTTTTTGAATAGATCTACTTAATTCTGAACTCTTTTTTACAGCTGAATCAGTCAATTCATTGTCATGAATATTCATATGAGCAGGAACTCAATGCAGATAAATTATCAGTTTAGATGTTCTTCTCTTTTGAATTTTCAAAACAGAGTTTAAAATCAGTTCAAGATTCATTTGACTATTATAAATCTGACTATTTCTAAGTCTTTTTAAAGTAGCTTGACTATCAGAGAATATTCATATCTCTTTCAAACTATTTTCTCTTTTATAAGATTTTATTTCAATGAGTTTGAAAGCTTTCACTATTACAAATAGTTCAGCATCAAAGACTTCAGATTCACAGTCTAAATTTCAGAAATCTGAGATAAAATTGATATTATCTTCAGTATAAGCAATGTCTATATCTAATCTATTTAAATTCTCATTTTTTGAGCCATCTGAGTAAATCAGAATAGAGTCTTTTATATTGATTGTAGAGATCTTCTTCAAATACTATTTATATTCTCTCTCTTTAGATAGTTCACTTATTTATAAGTCTATGAGAGATTTCAGCTTTTCTCTTCAGAGAGATATCTTCTCATAATCAATTTTCTTGACATTTAATGAAGAAAATTGATTCTTAATAAGTGAACATAGTTTATACAGTTGAGAGAGCATTTTCTTTAAAGTATTATTCTCATTTCAATCAAGAAATCTATTTCAATTCAGTTCATTTTCTGAGTTAACTGATGAAAATGAAGAGACTCTTTCTCTGATTATATGATTTAAGCTCATCTTTATGACTCTCAGAGCATAGTTCATACAGGTCTTTTCAAATTGAATAGTAGAAGATGAAATTGAGGCTTCAATTTTCATTGCTTTAATAGAAGATGATTTGAATGCTTTCAGAATTCTTCTCAAAGCTCTGTTTTATAGACTTTGAAACAGTTCAGTGAAGTTATCTTGATTATTTCATTAAACTTGAACTTCATAATCAGCTACTGAGATAATACAGACTATGTATAACTGTCTCATAGCCTGAAATAATAGATCTCTCTCAGTATTTAATAGTCTGATTATACTATTCAGTAGTCTCTCTGTCTTGATGATTCTTTGTTGAATATAATATTTAAAATTCAACTTGAAGTTTAATCATACTTCTAGTTATTT